TAAGGTGCACATTTTCTTTGCAAACTCTTGGCCTGACACGGTGGTTGTCCTTGGCTGAACACTGGAATCGCCTGAGGATTAGGATCCTAGGATCCTGTGCAGGCTCTGTCCACCCAGGACCAGCGAACTCGGAGCCTCTGCAGTGGGGCTCAGACACCCATGCTTCTGGAGCTCCCGGGTGGGCCCAGTGTGCAGCCGGGACTGGGGACTTGATGGGTCCACAGGCCACCTGGCCCTGCCTGTCTCGGGCCGCCGTTGGCCGTCAGGCTCCTCTCCTGTCCCGTCCCGGCCCCTCTGCCCCTCTGGGGAACACCCCTCTCCCTCCCGGGCTGTTGGCTGAAGCCTCCCAGCTCCTGGAAGCCTTGCGGGGGCGAATTCCTGTCTGCAGGCCTACAGCTGTTCTAGAGCCAGCGTGGTTGCTGGAGAGCTCTTCTCCCAGCCGGGAGTCAGGTGGGCTCGTCATCCATCCCGATGTGAAACTGGCATGTCACAGAAACGCTCAGGCTCGGGTTTTCTTGTGGGACCGAGTGCAGGCCTGCTGGCCCCCAGCACCACAGCAGGCGGGATGTGGCCTCAGAGAGCACGGCCGCCCACTCCTGCCCTGCGGTTCTCACAGCCTCGTGGCCTCTTAGGTTCTTGTAAGTTTCTTTTTTTTTCTTCTGACCTGTGACCTACATTTAACCCCTCTGTCAGAATAGTCTTCTTGAGGGCCGGCCCCATGGCCTAGTGGTTAAGTTTGGCGCACTTTGCTTTGGTGCCCGGGTTGAGTTCCCAGGTGCAGACCTACACCACTCCTTGGTGGCCATGCTGTGGCAGTGACCCACATACAAAATAGAGGAAGACTGGCACAGATGTTAGCTCAGGGACAATCTTCCTCAGTGAGAAAAAAAAAAAAAAAAAGAATAGTCTTCTTGCTCTGTTACTGCAGCTCTGTTTTTGGCTTGACTTTTGGAATTAATGTCCAACCCAAGACCAAGAAAAAGATCCCCAAAGGCTTGAGGACGCCCATCTGGCAGGGTCCCAGCCTGTGGCCCACTCTCACCCACAGGCCTGCTCCTGGGGAAGAGGCGCATCCCCAGGACCTCCTGCAGCTTGCTGGAAACAAGAGCGGATTTCTTTGCCTCCAGGAGGTGGGTGCCGAGCAGGTGGAGGATTTGGAAGCTGACTGGTCTCGGGATTAAAGCAAGTTGAGGTTCATCGACACGATTCTATCCTCGCTGCCTTCCCGGCCTACCCCAGCCAGAATCCCCCTCCCTCCTGGTACTAAGACAAACAGGCAAAAGTTCCCACATCCAGTTCTTAAATCCCAGCTTTCACATAACAGGATAGATCTCATTTTAGCCAAAGAGCAGATTTCCAATGGGGATTTCTTCAGCCAAGCCTCTTAACAAGGGCGATAAGCTGCCATCAAGTGTCCAGAGACATGGGCTCTGCACTGCTGTAACATCTTCCCGTGTGAAACAGATTGAACCGAGATAATTTGGGATAAACAATTTGATATTTTATCCTAAGAAGTTTTACAAAATATTTCTTTTTGAGTAATGACAGAAAAGATAACATGACAGAGACTGTTCATCTTCCTTTGTAACTTCTTAGGACACACAAAAGAAAAAAATGACGCCCTCCTTGCCACTCACGTCTTTGTCAATTTCATTTTGTAAAACAAGGATTTTTTTTTTTTATATAATTTTATTTACTTATTTTTTCCCCCAAAGCCCCAGCAGATAGTTGTATGTCATAACTGCACATCCTTCTAGTTGCTGTATGTGGGACGCGGCCTCAGCATGGCCGGAGAAGCAGTGTCTCAGTTTGTACCCGGGATCCGAACCCGGGCTGCCAGCAGCGGAGCCCGCACACTTAACCGCTAAGCCACGGGGTCGGCCCAAGGATTTCTTTTTAAACTGCACTGACCAAAGCTGGGCTTGATTGAGCTAAACTCCTGTGATAATCCAGGAGATACTGGTCGGGGGACCCTCACGCTCCTGGCTTCAGGGTGTTTATTACAGGGAGGGCCCGAGGCCAGCAGTCAGCGGTCCTCCAGAGTAACAGGGTATATATTTTCATTCCATTCCTGCAGCGTTTCTGAAGCGGGAGGGCAGAGGGTGTGAGGAAGGAGCCGGGCTGGAGAAACCCCGCTGAATCCGGTTTTCAATCTGGAGGAGCCAGGCTCGGGGTGCTGTTGGCGTCTGGTGTGTGAGGAGGGAGGAAGGGGGTCCCCTCCCCCGCCCGGCTTCCCACGTCGGGCGGCACCAGCATCAGGAGTGGGCCCCAGCTTTCTTTGCGACACGGCTCTTTTAGATGCTAGCAGTTTCCCCCGGGAATCTGAGTGCTCAAGAGGTTTCCCTTTCTCTGTCCGACACGAAGCCGTCATTCTTCTTTTCCTCCAGACCAGAGGAGCTGACCGGAGCCTCTCAGTTTACGGCGTGTTAACGTCGCTCCCAGTGAATCAAGTCTGGGGCAGCGGGCCAAGCAGTGTCCTCCGACAGGAGGCCGGGCCGAGTGCCAAGACAGTGGGGCGGCTCCAGCCTGAGCTCCACACGGCTAAAAGGAGGCCCCGTGTTTCCAGCCCTGACACTTGTCCCCACCCAGTGCTTTGATAGTTTGCAAAGGGCTTTCTGGTGCCTCCTGTGACCCTTGGATGCGCCCAGTGAGCTGGGGGAACTGAGAGGGAGGGGGTGCTCAGAGGTGAGGAATTGGGACAAAGAAGTGGAACAAAGTCCCCGATGTCACCAGCTCGCTGTGGAGGTGTGGACAGATGCGGTCACGCCTGCGGTGGGGCTTGAAAGGGTGGGTTTGGGGAGCACTTCTCTGGGGAGTTGAGACCTGGAGAAGGGGGCACAGTGAGGGGCCATCAGCAGTGTCACTGGGAGTCGTGCTTTGTCCCCATGTCACCTGTGTGGTGCTCTCCTTTTGGAGGCTCCTTGTTTTCTTGGCCATGACCTCGCTCAAACTGAAGCCCACGGGTGTCCCGTGTGTGGCTGTGACCTGGGAGCCCTCCCGCCCAGCCCACTGGCCCGACTTCAACTCAACTGGGCACCTGATTCAACTTCAACTCAACTCGGGAGGGGTCTGTGCAGAGAGGAGCTGGGAGCCAGGGGTGGTCAGCAGTAAAAACAAACACCAAGCTAGAACCTGATTTTCTTAAGGAGTCTAGAAAAGAGGAAGTTGGTAGGCGAATTAGGGGATTTCATCCTGGATTGTGCTTTGTAAGGCATCTTCGAACCCCTGTGGGGCTCTCCCCACCCTGGAAGCCCAGAAAACTTGTAATGGGATTTGGGGGTGTGAGTGACAGAGCCCCAATGCAAAGTAAGTAAAAAGGGTGACTTAATGGAAGCTGGCCCTCGTGGTCTAGAGGTTAAGATTCACTGCCTCTGCCCCGGTTCGTTTCCCACTCAGGGAACCACATCGTGACCTGTCTGTTGTCATACTGTGGCGGCTGTGTGTGGCTGGGATGTTGAAAGCTCTGCCACCGGGATTTCACATACCAGCAGGGTCACCCATGGGGGACAGGTTTCAGTGGAGCTTCCAGACTAAGACAGACTAGGAAGAACGACAAGGCCACCCACTTCCAAAAAAATTAGCCATGAAAACCCTGTGACTAGCAATGGAGTCTTGACTGTGCCGGAAGTGACTCTCCGGCACATGGAAGGATGCTCGCAGAATGTCACAAGCTGGACAACCTTGCTGCATGAGACAAACCTGAAGCTAGACTCAGAGACCAGAGGGACCCAGGGCCGGAAGGCAGCCACAACAATCTTTTTCTCTCCTTTGTTTCCCTGTGGGCCCCAGTTTGACTCTCTGAGACTTCCCTATGTGAACGGGGAGGTGGGAGTGAATGCACAGAAACCACCCCACAGCCCCACCGGCTCCAGGAGAAAGTTCTGGGGGAGAAGCTGTTGGCCCCAGTGCCGTCCCTGTGACCAGCTCAGCTCTGGTTTGTTAGCAAGAGGGCAGCGAGCACAGCTGGGACAACAGGAAGACTACACAGCCCCGACCCCATACCCTCTCCTCCTGTCCCCTCGACCAGCCCCTCCCCCAACCGGGGGACCGGCTCTTCCTTCCCCGGCTGCCTCCCCTTCCTAACCAGACGAGCCTTCCCGGAGCTGACCCCGATGACTCAGTTCATGAAAACCAACGACCACTGAGCCAGTCAGCCAGCTGGTAATTGGCTGGTTTTCAACTGCTCTTTTTCAGGTCTCCGAGGTGGCAAGTCCCCCACAATGTCCCACTCAGGGAGCTATGTCAGGGTCGGGCGTTCGGGCTCACCTGGTTCCATGTTCTCCCCTGTGAAGGGTCACAGAGCCCCTGGTGGCGGCTGCTACCTCATTTCAATCCTTAGAGAAAAATGACATCTCTATAGGTATTTTATCAAATCGCTTCTCTTAAATGTGTTCTGGATCTTAATGGTGTTCAAGTTTAGGCAGTGTGCACTTTAGCAAACTATTTCAAAGCCCTGAGCAAATGACAGAAGATTTAAAAAGGAGCGCTCAGTCGATGGTGACAGTTCAATCGAAATTAGCAGTAGAAAATAGTGATTTTAACTTAGGTATTGAAAATTAGGACCCATTTCATCAGTTCCTAAAAACCTTTCCTGCATGTTCTCTGGAAATTCTATCAGTTGGGGACATATTTCTATGAAACAACCCAAACTTAGATTTATTACCAATGTCCTTGTTCATTTAGTTATTTTTTTCTAGACACATATAACTAATTGAGCTGGCCTCACGCTGTTCTCAGCCAGCGAGCTCAGTACTGGTTTCTTCTCCCCAGGTAGCTGTCCCGCTACCAGTAAACTCACTCCCTAGTGTGTTCTTTGGTCAAAGAAACACATTAAGTTTTAATTCTTACACATTAGTTTGCTCATAAGTTCCTCCAATCCTCTATTTGCCTGATTGTTGCAAAGCACTACTGTTTGTCCCCCAGGGAAGTACACTTTGCAGTGATGAGAGAGAAAATAATCTGTCAAACACCCCAATCCTTTTTTCTCCTATCATGCGGTATTTGTTTAAACGACATAACACAACATTTGTTTTTAATTTTTTTAATTTTTTTACTAAGGCACATGACGTATAGAAATACTGAGGTACAAAATGCAAATTTCTGCATAAGATTTTTAAAATAATCATTTTGGAAAATGAAGGTGAACATCATCTTCCAGGATATTCAGCTTTTAGCTTGTTTTTTCTTTTGGACCAGTTCAACCAGCAGCTTGTATCTAGCGATACAGTCTTCCTGCAGGAAGAGAGAGAGAGAGGTGAAACGGTTACTTCCACAGGTCAGTGTGGCCTTCGGGGGCAGCCTGCTGGGGCCGGCTTGTTGGCTGGGCCCAGTGTTAACGAGGTGGCCTCATGGCTGCTCGCTCTGCACAGAACTGCCTAGAACTTCTCAGGTGAGGCCAGCTGGCCACGGGCAGAGGAGGCTAGAGAGGTGCATGGACGAGGCCGGCTGAAGTCCAGCCCGAGGGGCAGGGCCGGGCTGGGGGATGGGGCCAGGGCAGCTGTTTGGGAGGCCTGCTATCGTTATCATGTGTCTGACTTTCAACTTGCTAACTGTAATGATCATTTTTAATGTTTCACTATTTCATCACAACATGACACTTCAGAGAAACCAAACAGCTTGCGGCCCGGCATCCACGCTATTATTCTCATTTGGGTCTGCCTCTCCCTAAGGACTGCTGGGAGCTCCTGTGGGAGGGCCCAGCCCCACAGGACACCGGCAAGGCGTGTGCTGGAACTCTTCCTCCTGCTCATCCCAGCCCCACCTCAATCTTCCAGCCCGTCAGGCTAGATGACGACTAGCTTCAGATCCCAGCAGCCTGTAGACACTGTCACTCCTTGGGGTGGGGACTCGTGACTGAAGCAGAGATGGGGTGATGCTGGGGAGGGGCCTCATCACTCCCATGTTTACCACATGGTACTTTCCAGAATCCATTTCTGTTTCTGTTCAAAAAACACCTGCCCCAATGGCACTATGAACGCCTTCACTAACTTAAAGTCCAGAGCACACCAACTTCTGCTCCAGAGCAGACGACTTTATCAGCCGCCTGGGACAGAGAATGGATGTTCATTCTCTTCCTAGGATTTTGGCTTAGTAGTGTTAGGAGAGTATCTCTCTCTCTCTTTTTTTTTTTTTTTTTTTGCTGAGGAAGATTCTCCCTGAGCTAACATCTGTGCCCATCTTCCTCTATTTTGTATGTGGTACACTGCCACAGTGTGGCTGATGAGTGGTGTAGGTCCGCACTCGGGATCCAAACCTGCGAACCCGGGCCACTGAAGTGGAATGCACTGAACTTAACCACTAGGCCACAGGGCTGGCCCAAGAATATCGTCTAGTAAGTGCCTTTTCTGCATCCCCAAAGAGTACTTTCCTAGGGTCCTTACAAATCTCAGCCTTTCTCAGTAGCTACGCTGCCCGTTGGTGCAGCCTAGCCCATGACACCCAACAGCCAGCCCAGGCCCTCACCTGCAGGACAGTGTGGCCCCTGAGCGGTGACCAGCAGGCCTGCCAGTGAGCCCAGCTGGGCATGCGCCTCAGGCAAAGGCTCTCCTCAGGCCCAGAGTTCCCGGCGCTCACAGGCCACTTCCAGGAAGTCACTCCCTAGCGGGCGACCAGCCGGCGCCCTCCCGGACCTGGCTCTGACGCCAGGGCTTAATGGGACACCTGCAGGACAATCAAAGGGCTGCTCGTTTCTGGTGGAAACAGGAAGGTTTCCAAGCCCCAAGGCAATGGGTTTCTGGGTGTGCTAGCCTTAGGAATCCACAGTTCCAGCTCCTTCCTTTGAAGCCAATGTCAATTCATCACACATGTAAATGCCTGTGTCTTGACAGATGCAAGAATTTCAGGGAAAATAATTACCTCTGGCAAACCAGTGGGAGAGGCTGGGAGGATCTGTGTTTCTCAAATAGATCAACTGCTAATGGTTTATTTTTCTCCCCGGGAATTCTCCACTTCATCATTTTAAAGTAGGTTATAGATAACTAGACCTGTACACACGGGGACATTCATGGCCACAAGCTAGATTTTCCAACATAGAATTTCAATTAAAAAAAAAAAAGAATGTAAATGAACATCGAGGTGCCCAGGGGCTACTGAGTGACGGGCAGCAGAGATTGGTTCTCTGGGTTTCTTGGTGTTTCTGGTGCCTCAAACAGAGTGCAGCCACACAGGGAGAGGCCCCGGAGACTGTGGGTGTCGGGAAAGATCACACTGTGAGGCTCCACAGCTGCGACCGGCAGAGCAGAAGGCGAGGAGCAGGGTGAGGGGGTGGCTTTCCACAGGGACACCCCATCCTCCCGCCCCCCTGAGCTCTTATTAGAGAACTATCTGCAGATGTGTTTAAGCAGATACTAAGCTCTAAACAGGAAACTTAACAGAAAAGAGAAGAATAAACAGTCTGGGCTACAGAGGTTAAGTTGAATCCTAAACATCAGTCACTCTGGCTCTGACTCCACATAAACACGGCCTCCAGGGCCACCTGTCAACCGGACGCCACTGCTGAGTCCAGATGAAGTGACATGGCACGGCGAGGAGCATGGTGACACCGTCTCCCACCCCCCCCTTGGTTGAGGGCCCGTTAGAATGCTAGAGGCACTGGTGATTTTGAGCCACGTTCTCCTCACGTGGGTGAAAGGGAGCTGCCACCGAGATGGGGAGCCTGCTTGGTGACGTGAGTGCTTCTCTCAACCTGCCACCTGAGGAGGGCCAACGCTCCAGAAGGTCAGCAGGGTTGTTGTGGGTGAAGTTTATGTTCTATGCACGGATGTTCTCTGAGAAAACACAACCGGTCTGTACGATGACTAAACTTAGAATCTTGACCTCACTTACACTAATCAATCAAAGGCACGGATTCGCAGGCTATCGGGAGAAATACACTGGAAGATAACTGGTAAATGGGAGGTCATGTAGATAGCTGTGGACAGAAGGACACGAACGAGATGGAAGACAAATCAGGCAGAGCTGGCTGCAGCCACCCCAGTGGATTTCTAAAACCAGTGGAGCCTTCCTTCTCTCCCTGCTTCACCCACCTTACTCTTAGATGGGACACATTTGGCTATTTTGTCCCAGCGGTCAGAAGATCCCTTTGGGTATTGCTGTAATGCTAATTCCAGAAGTTTCTGTTGATTCTGAGTCCATGGCTCCTCTGCAGCACGAGTTCTCTCTTTTTTCTGGCTCTCCTCATCGCTGGACTCATTCTGTTCTGCTACATCAAAGTCCTTCTGCCTCTTTCCTCTGAACTTCTCCTCTGGCTCGGTCTTCGTCCCCGCATCTGGCAGCCTGGCTGGCCTCCGCCGCCGTGGCCGGCTCTCTGGGACCACTGCCTCCTGCTCACCGTCCTCCTCCTCCTGCTCATCCTCCTCCTCCTCCTCTTCCATGGGCTGCTCTGCACCTTCTCGCTGGGTGATGATGTCATCTGGCAAGGCCGCGGGGGTCTTGATGGGCCTGCAACTCTGCGCTGTTGACTTGAGTTCAGAGAGTCTAACCATTCCTGTGAGAAAGGGCCCATCACACATGAACGGGGAAGATCAGCTCAAGTGACAGGCAGACAGCGTGCTCAGCATTTTGTATGTATTATTTTACTTAACCTTCACACTATTCTAGAAAGTTAGGTATCATCATCCTAATTTTACAAATGAGCAAATTCAGTCTCAGAAAGCAGCAGAGGTGGGATTTGAATCCAGTTCTGACTGATTCCAAGTCTGCCCTTTCCAGCACTCTGAGGAAGAGTGGGTATCTACAGAATCAAGTTGGGATCAAAGAATGCAAAGATCTCCTTGAGAAGGAATAACCTGGTACTTTTTAGGGAAGGAAGGATGTTCTTCACATCCAGAGTTGTTGTTAAGTGCGTTAGCATAACTAGAATCAATCTGCCAAACCTTACTCTATGCTCGCCATCTGCAGGTGAGCCCCCAACACTGTGGGGTCTGCTCTCTGTTCAAAGCTCCTCCTGGAGCCACTGTGATGCCTCGTTTGACAGTAAAGGGCAAACAAACTCAGTCTCCCAGCCACAGATGTCATCTCAGAGATAGCCTGAACTGTTCAACTACACGTTTCCTGTTCCCTTCACACTTTGTGCCCCCTCCACCAACGCTCTTGTAAGATGATGTCTGTTCATGACTTTACACCACATTGCCTTTTCAAGACTATATTTTTGGAGAATGTCTTGGAGGCAGGCTTCTTTCACATAACATCTCTTTACCTATTTCTGCCTCCATGCCCAGACACATAAGCTTACTGGGAGAAAAGGCCTCTGGAAATGCCCTCTTTCCTAAAGCCTGCAGAGCCCCAAGGTGGAGCCTTCCTGGGGATGACTTCTGAGATCTTGGGGTCTGCTGGTCCCTGGCTAGCTCACCTGCATTGCTTTCTCTGGGACCCACATTGAAGTTAAGGTGGAAGGTATGGGAGGCATTTTCTTCCTGGTTCCAAGCAAAGAGCATGGAGACTCTAACAAAATTCTAGTTAGTGTCAAAGGAAACCAATTTTGGGAAACAGATTCTTGGGAAAGCTGCTTGTTGTCTATTCTGAAGGAATAGCTACGTGTGTGTAATGACGGGGTGGATGGTGTGGGAAACTGCATACAGTGCATTGTGCGGTGTGCAGACTGGCCTTCCCCTGTGTGTGTCCCCCACCCCCAATACTGGAGAACAGAGTTTTCTAGTTCTGTAAACTTACCAAATACATCTTAGCACCTGCTGTCTGTGCAGGGCTTGACTGGCCTTTTGGTGCCTATATTTCGACCCCTGTCAGAGAGATGACCAGTAGAGTCCACTGGGCAAAATTACTACACCATCGTATTTAAAGATATTATTATAAACAGGGACTTATTTGAAGAAACCACTTTAGATTAACAGGGTGAAGTGGGTGCCAACTCACCTGGGGAGCAGGTGACTGAGTCCTTCATTTGCTTGGCTTTGGTTGTCACCTATTTCAAAATATAAAAGCAAAGAAAATCTTACTTTCCAGATATCTACTGAAGGTCAAGTGACCTATTTCATACGTCTGTGTGAACAAACAGGGTTTACTGAATCTTAGACCTGGAAGGACCCTCAGTCATCAGTCCAACCCATTCATTTAACCAACAAGGAATTTGCAGCCCAGGCAGATGAAATGACTTGCTCCAAAATATCCATCCAATCAGTGGCAGAGTCAGAATAAGAACTGAGATCACCTGGTTACTTCCAGCTCAACGACATTCCATCATACTGGGCTGCCTCTTAAAATATACTACTTTCAAAATTATTATACAAATAGGTCATTTTTTTTAGTTAGAATTTCCTGAAAGAGAATATCTTTCTTCACCGCAGAATATTATACCAATGAATATTATAAACAGTGGAGTAATTTACTCTTTTTTTTTTTAAATAATTTTATTTATTTATTTTTTCCCCCAAAGCCCCAGTAGACAGTTGTATGCCATAGTTGCACATCCTTCCAGTTGCTGTACGTGGGACGCAGCCTCAGCATGGCCAGAGAAGCGGTGTGTTGGTGCGCACCCGGGATCCGAACCCGGGCCGCCAGCAGCGGAGCGCTCGCACTCAACCACTAAGCCACGGGGCCGGCCCTGGAGTAATTTACTCTTAAGCTAATGATGTTATAATATAAAAGTCTTTCTTTTCTTTGCATCCTGGAAAGAAACCCTAAGAGCACATAAGATTGACACTAGAGGAAGAATCTCTTGGTGGAGTAGGGCAGCTGGACCCAAGAACTACGAGACATTTCTGTACATGTCAAAAAAGACCCATGTGGGCCAGCCCTGTGGCTTGGTGGTTAAGTGCGCGTTCTGCAAGGCTGGTGGCCCGGGTTCGGATCCCGGGTGCGCATCAAGGCACCACTTCTCCGTCCATCCTGAGGCCGAGTCCCACATACAGCAACTAGAAGGATGTGCAGCTATGACATGCAACTATCTACTGGGGCTTTGGGGGGAAAAAAAAAAAATAAAAAAAAAAAAAAAAAAAAGACCCATGTAACCAACACTCTGACCAAGTTATAGAACATTCCTATTACCCCAAAAAGTTCCCAAGTCAGTCTCTACCCTGCCATAGACAACCATTGTTCTGAATTCTATTATATATTTTAAAAAATATGGGATCAAAATTAATTAAAAATTAAAAAATGGATAGTTAATTGCCCCAATGCATTTATCAAACAAGCCATCCTTTCTCCATTTATTTAAAATGTCAACTTTATTAAAATTACATTCCATCATATAAATGGCCTATTTTTCTATATTCTGTATTCTATCCCATTAATCCATGTATATTCTTGCACCAATATTTCACTGCTTTAATGAACTCTGAAAGTAAAACCTCAGAAAGCAGGACTGTTAAGAACTCAGGCAGATCTGGCATTCAGTCTTAAATTTTTTTTTTTTTTTAAATTTTTATTTATTAATTTTTCCCCAAAGCCCCAGTAGATAGTTGTATGTCACAGTTGCACATCCTTCGAGTTGCTGCATGTGGGACGCAGCCTCAGCATGGCCGGAGAAGCGGTGCGTCGGTGCACGCCCGGGATCCGAACCCGGGCCGCTAGCATCGGAGCACACGCACTTAACCGCTAAGCCACGGGGCCGGCCCTGGCATTCAGTCTTGGTTTTACCTCTTATTAGCTGGGTAACGTTGAGCAATTTCCAATCCTTTCTCTGTCTCATGCCTTACCCTCTGTAATATGTGGATAATACTACTAATACCATTTGCCTGTTAGGGATGTTTTAAGTTTGAAATAAGCTCTTAGCATGATACTTAGCAGATATTAAAGGCTCAGTAAATATTACCTATTATAAGTGACATGGTTCATTTGTTTTCCATTCATGCAAAGGGCAGAATTAGAGAAAACGTTTAAAGCTGCTTAGAAACACTCTTCAATTTTATTCCCTACCTTTCTTTCTCTCCAGATGACCTTGCTTTTTATTTTATGGGAAAAAAAATTGAATTTATCCAACATGAGCTTCCTTGACTTCCAACTTTCCCCCAAAATCCCAACTCAAATTTTGATTGCATCACCATATATCCTTCCCATCTTCTGTCCCAATTCAAAGAAGGAAATTATCTTCCTTCCTCTTGAATCCTCTCAAAACTATGCTCCATCAATTAATTTCTTTTGCTTTCATATTCAGCTTCTCCCTGTCCATCAGATGCGTCCCATAAACCTTCAAACTGAGCTCAAGTGGTCTCTACTCGAAAAGACTATCTTCCCTTGAGTTGTTTTCCATTCCACTTGGCTTTCATGACAGTATCTCCTAGTTTTCCTTCTCTTTCTCTGAATGTTCCTTCACTGGCCCCTCCTGTATACTCCTGCCCCTTGCTCCCTAATGTAATGTTCCTCAACATTCTGTCCTTGCCATTCACATTTTCTTTCCATTTTTTCCTTTGGTATCTCATACCATCTGTTCAATAATACCTTAGAAAAGAAACGATTAACCTGTGTCTCCGGCCTTCATCTCTACCTAGGAATGCCAGTCTCACAGAAACTGACCATATAACAACAGTGCATCATCAGATCTGAAAAGGACTTCATCTATATAAGAATAAGCTTTCTATGTACCAGGCATTGTTCTAAATAAAATGTGTGTGTGTATATATATTCCTCACAACAGCCATATTAGGTGTATATAAAATTATCATCCCCACTTTACAGAATCTGAGGCCCAGAGAGAATAAATAACACGTCCAAGATTAAAAGGCAAGTGAGTAGCTGGACCCAGGCGAGTTGGGCTCTAAAATCTTTGCTCTCAATCACTATGATATATTTTGAATCCAATTCTGCTATACTGCGTGGTTTCCCTCTCTGACTGCCACTAGATCTCTTATTTAGAGGTCTCCTAGCTCCTCAAACTAAACAAATCCAAACTAAACTCATCAACATCTCTGCTTTTCCTTCTTTTTGTTATTACTATCATCCCAGTCACCTGGGCTCAAAACCTGAGAGTCAATTTTTGGACTTTTCTCTCCCTTCCCAACCAGCTGCCACATTCTTCACAAATCAATCCCATCTGTTCCCTTCTCTCTCAGATCTCTACCACCTGTGTTAGTGACCGAACTAAGATAACAGCTTCTAACCGGTCTCCAACTTACTAATAGTTCTTATAGAATAATATCCCCAAGGCAGTGTTCTGATCAAACATGTTTGATAGCTCATCACTGACTGTATAATCAGGTGTTCAATTCTTAACCTGACATGCAGGGAAATCTACAATCTCATCTATTCTCTTTCCTGTATGTATATCCTTTCTTTCAGCAGAACTAAACAGTTAATGCTCCTCCAGATAGTCAGAAATCTCTACACTGTACGTTTGCCCATCGATAACATTGTCTGAAATGATTTCCTTTCTTCATCAAACTTCTCCTTAAATATCTGTCTGGCTTCAAGGTACTCTCAAGCATGAGTTTCTTCTTAAAGATCTTCCTGATGTTCGCCACCAGGACTGCCAACTCTGGTGACAATTAATCCCTCTTCTTTCTCAGTTTCTTTTCTTTTTTCTTGCTGAGGAATATTCACCCTGAGCTAACATCTGTTGCCAATCTTCCTCTATTTTGTATGTGAGCCACTGTCACAGTATGGTCACTGACAGACGAGTGGCATACGTCCACGCCCGGGAACTGAACCTGGGCTGCCCAAGTGGAGCGAGCCGAACTTAACCACTAGGCCCTGGGGCCAGCCCTCAATTTCTATTGTATTTTTTTTTTTAATTTACATTTTTTTCCCCCCAAAGCCCCAGTAGATAGTTGTATGTCATAGTTGCACATCCTTCTAGTTGCTGTATGTGGGACGTGGCCTCAGCATGGCCGGAGAAGCGGTGCGTCAGTACGCGCCCGGGATCAGAACCCAGGTCGCCAGCATCGGAGTGCACGCACTTAACCGCTAAGCCACGGGGCCGGCCCTCTATTGTATTTTTTAAGATTTTAGTTTTTTACATTATCATACAATAAAATTACCTTTTTCACCTTTGTTGTACAGTTCTATGAATTTTAAAACATTTATACATTCATGTAACCACCACCACATATAGGATATGGAATAATTCCTTTCTTTTTTCTCCTGCACCTTGTTTTCTTATTTAACAAAATATTTGGGAGATTATTCCAGAAGAGTACATGAAGATCTCCCTTGTTCTTTTTTTTTTTTAAAACAGCTTAAATGAGATATAATTCACATACCATACAATTCATCCACTTAAAGTGTACAATTCAATGCTTTTTAGTATATTCAGATATGTGCAACCATCATCATGGCCAACTTTAGAGTATTTTCATCACTTCAAAAAGAAACCCCATACCCTTTAGCTATCATCCTCCATCCACCCCACCCTACTCCATCCTCCATAAAACAATAAGCAACCATGAACTTACCTTCTGTATCACTAGATTTCCCTATTCTGGACTTTCATATGAATGGAATCACATATGGATTTTTGTGGCTGGCTTCTTTCACTTAGGGTAATGCTTTTCAGGCTTATCCAAGTTGTAATACATACCAGTACTTCATTCCTTTTTATTTCTGAGTAATAGTCCATTGTACGGATATACCACATTTTGTTTATCCATTCAGCAGTTGATAAACATTTGTGTTGTTTCCATCTTTTGGCTAGTATGAATAACGTTGCTATAAACATTTGTGTCTAAGTTGTTGCGTGGGCATATGTGTTCATTTATCTTGGGTATATACCTAGCAATGGAATTGCTGAGTTACATGGTAACTTGCTAACTTTTTGAGGAACTGCCAGACTGTTTTCCAACATGGCTGCACCATTTTACATTCACACCAGCAGTATATGAGGCTTCTGATTTCTCCCCATCTTTGCTAACACTCACTATCCAACTTTTTTATTTTATCCATCCTAGTGGGTGCGAAATAGTATCTTGTGGTTTTGATTTGCATTTCCCTAATGACTAATAACATTGAGCATTTTTTCATTTGTTTATTGGC